TTTGGTTAAATGTTTTTATTTATTTTTTATTTTTTTATTTTTGGATCTGTTGGGTCTTCCTTGCTGCGCGTGGGCTTTCTCTAGTTGCGGTGAGCAGGGGGCTATTCTTTGTTGCAGTGCGCGGGCTTCTTATTGCGGTGGCTTCTCTTGTTGCGGAGCATGGGCTCTGGGTGCGTGGGCTTCAGTAGTTGCAGCACGCAGGCTCAGTAGTTGTGGCTTACGAGCTCTAGAGCGCAGGCTCAGTAGTTGTGGCGCATGGGCTTAGTTGCTCCACGGCATGTGGGATCTTCCTGGACCAGGGGCTCGAACCCGTGTCCCCTGCATTGGCAGGTGGATTCTTAACCACTGAGCCACCAGGGAAGTTCCTCACCAAAGCATTTTGAAACTAAATCACATCTGTATAATCCTTTATTAGTTAAAGCAGCTGTCATTTCACTGCTCTTCCAAAAGGAAACCCAAAATGGTACTAATGAAAACATGCTCATTCATTTTTTCCCAAAATCACTGTAATCGCTCTCTCTTGCTCTAATTTTGAACGTGCTTTAAAAAAGGAAATCACTCTTGGATTTTTATGTGGGAGAGATTCATGTTCTTTGATTTTTTAAAAGGCCTTTTATTATACAATTACTTCAGAAACTACATGGGATTGTTTTATTGTAGTGAGTGCTAAATTGCCTCAGATTCTTTAACAAATGAGGCAGGATACAAATGAGTAGAAATGTCACACTTTGAAAGGTAGTATCATACAAATAAGTTAATTATCCCCGCTCTTTGGTATTGCTGTCTTGTAAGTCTGTATGATCAAGCATAAGTAAAGCTCTTTAATTGTTGCCGTCTTTACGGTGCCTCGTCTCCAAGCCATTTCCTTTCCTGTCTCTGAGGCCTGCCCTGTTGGAATGGACATGGTGACAGGTCTGTGCTTTGGCAGGAGTTGCTGCAGGTAGCCAGAACTGCCCTGAGGAGCTGAGCTGCGGAGAAATCTAAATTTCCTCAGAATGTTGGTTTTCTCTTCTGAAAAGATCACTGGGGGTACAGAGGGTCCATGAGAAAAGCAGAAAAGGGACTATGACCAAGAAAAGGGTTGTCGTAATGAGTTTTAAGAAGAGAGATGAGGAAGAATGGATGCATTTTAAAGATTACGGTGAGGGGGAACTTTAAAGGTAACACAGAACACCTGTTGAAGACCTGCATTTTGCTAAGGGATCCTGAGTGATGGTGATTAAGGAGAAACAAGTCCTTTGCTGTCTTGGAAACTAATAGGCTTTTTGATATTGTTGATTGATTTAATTTTGAAGATTTTGTTTAACCTTTTGAGTTAAGGATTCAAAGGTAGGTAGGTTACAAATAAAATTTTTAAAAGGTAATTCTAAAAAGGGGATTATCAGGGTATCAGAAGAAGAATCAGGGTATTAAGGTAGGCACATTTCTCAAGGACCAACAATGGGACTTGTTTTAGTTACCAAGGAGCATCTGAGTTATTGAGTATCCGACTGAGTATCTGATTATTGAGTATCTGATTCATTTTTTCCCATTCCGGACTTAGTAGATCAAGGATAACATTGTAGACAGGTACAGTTGACCTTTGAACAACATGGGTTGGAACTTTGCAGGTCCACTTATCTGCTGATCTTTTTCAATAGTAGATACTACAGTACTACACAATCCGCAGTTGCTTGAATCCAGGGATGAGGATACAGATGAATCACTGATACAGAAGGCCGACTATAAGTAACACGATTTTCAACTGTGCGTGTGTTAGCACTCCTAACCCCCTCATTGTTCAAGGGTCAGCTGTATAAGATATCCAGGAGAGTTCTTCAGAAATGGAAAAGTTTCTGGGAACATCTGTGCTGGTGATAGTTGTAGGATTTTGGAGATAACCAGGGAAAAAACAGACATCTCTCCTAGGGCCAGAAAGGCCCAGAAGGTCAAAGGTCACAGGTATTGTACAGGCATTGGATCTTCTAAAAGGTTTGTTGTTTTAAGTATCTGGAATAAGAGGACGGTGGCTTGGCCCACTTTAAGATAACTACATTTGACCTTTGAACAAAGCAGGGGTTAGGGGTACTGACCTTCTGTGCAGTTGAAAACCTCTGTATAACTTATAGCTGGCCCACTGTTTACTGTGTTCCTCTGTATCTGTGATGCCACATCAAAGATCTGCAGATTGTGTAGTATTTGCAATTGATAAAACAAAATCTGTGTCAAAGTGGACCTGCACAGTTCACACCTGTGTTGTTCAACGTGTGGGGAATTTGATTGAAGGATAGACCTGACTCTTTTGAATTATTTTTGCAATTTTTCTGTAAGTCTGAAATTTTCTGAATATAAATTAAAAAAAAAATTGAGCCAGAGTTGCTGGATTAGTCACCAATGAATCTGAATTTTTTTTTTTTCTTTTTTTTTTTGCGGTACGCGGGCCTCTCACTGCTGTGGCCTCTCCTGTTGCGGAGCACAGGCTGCGGACGCGCAGGCTCAGCGGCCATGGCTCACGGGCCCAGCCGCTCCGCGGCACGTGGGATCCTCCCGGACCGGGGCATGAACCCCTGTCCCCTGCATCAGCAGGCGGACTCTCAACCACCGCGCCACCAGGGAAGCCCCGAATCTGAATATTTTAATTAACTTACGCAGTATTTGTGTATGGGGTGCTTCCTGACTTTTGTGGTCACCATTCCTTTTCTGTATTACTAACTTGTGTTAACAATAATTGTTAATGTCTGGCATAAGAAAGAGAAAGAATACTGCTTAGCTATCAGGAGATGGGTTATTCTCTTAGTGAGACCATGAGAAAATCACTGTGGCTGGGTCCCTTAGCTCTTCATCTAAAATTTTTGTGGGGAGCTGGATAAGCTGCCTTCAATAACTAGGTTATAGCAGTACTGTGATGATGGGCTCCTGATTCCGTGACTCAGGGAGATGTTATGTTATTGTCAGCCACTTGAAGAAGGCCCAAGCCTTCTTACACATGTAAATTGTAAAGATTGAAGAAGTCAGAGCTAGAAGATACCTGTTAACCATCTGATCTGCCCTCCATCTGCAGCACCCACTTGTTTGCAGCACACCCTCTAAGTTGTTTTGACCAGTGCTCTCTTTTCTAGCCAGTCATCATTTTGCCAGAGACTTGACTTGTATTTTTTTTTAATAAATTTATTTTATTTATTTATTTTTTGGCTATGTTGGGTCTTCGTTGCTGCGCTCAGGCTTTCTCTAGTTGCGGCAATCGGGGGCTACTCTTCGTTGCAGTGTGCGGGCTTCTCATTGCGGTGGCTTCTCTTGTTGCAGAGTATGGGCTCTAGGTGCGTGGACTTCAGTAGTTGTGGCATGCGGGCTCAGTAGTTGTGGCTCGCGAGCTCTAGAGCACAGGCTCAGTAGTTGTGGCACACAGGCTTAGTTGCTCCGCAGCATGTGGGATCTTCTCGGACCAGGGCTCAAACCCATGTCCCCTGCATTGGCAGGCGGATTCGTAACCACTGTGCCACCAGGGAAGTCCTTTGACTGGTATTTTTAGTCACCCTTTCTTTTAGTCATTTAGAAAAGGAATGTGACTTTCCTTAACTTTAACATTTTCCAGTTCTTTTATATTTAGACTTGACTTTTTTTTTTTTTTTTTTTGCGGTACGCGGGCCTCTCACTGTTGTGGCCTCTCCCGTTGCGGAGCACAGGCTCCGGACACACAGGCTCAGCGGCCATGACTCACGGGCCCAGCCACTCCGCAGCATGTGGGATCTTCCCGGACTGGGGCACGAACCCGTGTCTCCTGCATCGGCAGGCAGACTCTCAACCGCTGCGCCACCAGGGAAACCCTAGACTTGACTTTTGAAATCTATAATTTTCTATTACGGCAGAGATTAACAGACAGGTGGACTGTTTTCCTCTAGAATCACAAGAGGATTTAGTTGATAAGCATTTGAATATCTGGCAATAGTAATTATATTATCAGAAAATGATGGGGATGAAAGTCAATTTTTAGCAAGAAGATTAAGAATTTAAGTTTGTGCATTAAAAAAAATTTCTAGGTTAGAAAATGTAACAGGAAAGTATCTTTGCTCTTACTAACCCTTTAAATATGATACCCTAAAAAAGAAATGAGGTAAAGATATAAAGAAATAGACACTCTGCTCTTCTGTTGGTGAGGATGTAAATTAGTTTATTCTGTTTTGGAGCTAATTTAACAATGTCTATTAAAACAAAAAAGATCATGCATGCTAACTTGAGTTCTACTTCTAGGAATTTATCCTGTAAAAATACTCATTGCACCATTGTCTATAAAAGTGAAAATCTGAATACTGTTCATTGTTCGGAAATTACGTTAATAAATTATGACATCATACAATGGATTCTTATACAGCTATCAAAAATAATGTAGGAAGCTTTTTAAATGTTAATATAAAGTGCACTATTGCTATTTTTAAAAATTGTGATAAACTATACAAGACAATGTTAAACATTTTAACCTTTTGTAAGTGTACAAGTTCAGGGGCATTAAATGTGTTCACGGTGTTGTATAACCATCACCACTTTCTACATCTAAAAGTTTTTCTTCATCCTCAACGAAAATGCTATATTTATTAAATAATAACCTTCCCTTTCCCCGTCCCAGGAGATTTAAAAATATTGACGTGGAATACTGTCCAAATACATAATTAAGTGATAAAGGAAGATTGCAAAATAGTATAAATACTCTGATTCTACTGTGGTAAATTATTATTATGTTAAATATAAGTGTAGGAAAATCTGGGAGACTACATATGTTAAACAATGGGGGATACTATGGGAGATTTTTACTTTTATATATTTTGGTAATTTTTTGTTTTAAACAATGAATATGTGTAACTTTACTAAGCAGAAGAAAAAGATATAATTTAAGTATTGTACTAAAACATGCTAATTTGGATGCCTCTGATTTTAGGTAACAAATAACAGACTTCCCCGTGTGGTTGCTAAATTTGAGGTTATATAGAATCTAAATACTTTATTAAAGTAATTCTTTCTTTTCACAGCTAGAGTTGGGAAGACATCACTGATTATGTCTCTGGTCAGTGAAGAATTCCCAGAAGAGGTAAACATTTTGATTTCTTAACTATATTTAAAATTTTTTAAATTTTATCAAAATTGAGTTAAATAGAATATATTTTTGCATGTGGTTTCTTTCTGATAGTTATGACTTTTAGAAAGGCTTGTGGTAGTTTTTACAAGACATCTTTGAAATATAGTGTAGGAGAAAGAGTCAAACTAGTTCTGAGTTCACTAAGTAAGGCCTTTGTGTTTCTTACTTTTGATCTTGGCTAGGACGTTTGTCATTTCTGTGCCTTAGTTGTCTCATCTGTAAAATGGGAGCTGAAAGGGATGTTAGAGATATCTAAGCTGTATCATCCTCTCTTAATGTTTTTCATAAGCCCAAAATATAGAACAGATGGAGTATTCCTTTAGTTGAAGTAAGGGTAAAAGGTCTGGCTCCCCGCTTGCCTTCCATCTGACACTCCCCGGTCTTTGAGGCATTAGAACCACTAGAATTCTGACACACATATTTGAAAACCTCAAATATTATCCACCTGCATCATTTTACAAATAAAAAATCTAATTCATTCCACCTTTGCCTACCTCAAAGGATTGTTATGGATCTCAAATGAGATAAGCTTAGTAATAATAGAGTGCCACCAAAAGTTAGGTGGTTTTGTTATTGCTGGCAATGTATTTATTTATTACATTTTGGAAGTTCCAGTATGGGGGACTGTTGGCTAATGTAATGTTGTTGTAACTGTTGGCCTTATGTAATGTTAAGATATTGTTATGAGGAATGGGATCAATGCAAAAGGGATGAAAATTATTTCTTTTTATTTTCTTTCTTCACACAGTAGGTATTATTAGTGCCACGGTTTACATTTATCATTTCTTTACTCTTGTTTAATTAGGAATATCTGTTCAATTTTGCTGTTTAGAGAGGAATTTGATGTATTACATGGTAGTTATTTCAAAAATTACAACTGCCATGTGACCACTCATTGTTTCCTTTTTTTTTTTTTTAATTTATTTTTATTTTTGGCTGCCTTGGGTCTTTGTTGCTGTGTGCGGGCTTTCTCTGGTTGTGGTGAGCAGGGGCTACTCTTCATTGCGGTTCGCGGGCTTCTCATTGGGTGGCTTCTCTTGTTTCAGAGCATGGGCTCTAGGCACGCAGGCTTCAGTAGTTGTGGAAGTCGGGCTCAGTAGTTGTGGCTCGTGGGCTCTAGAGCATAGGTTCAGTAGTTGTGGCACACGGGCCTAGTTGCTCCACGGCATGTGGGATCTTCCCAGATCAGGGCTCGAACCTGTGTCCCCTGCACTGGCAGGCGGATTCTTAACCACTGCGCCACCAGGGAAGTCCCACTCATTGTTTCTTTTGCTTTTTTTTCTCTTAAATAAGATAGTTAAATAAATCATAGCTTAATTTGTAAAATGGAGTGTATTTTCATATGTGGTGTGTGGAATCAGTAACGTTAATTAGGATCACTCAGGTTATAATACCTAAAAGTTTTCTATGATAGTTTAATTTAGTTTAAATTGTCTTTTTATTTTATTTATTTTATTTAATTCTTTTATAAGTTTATTTATTTGTATTTTTGGCTGTGTTGGGTCTTTGTTGCTGCGCGCAGGCTTTTCTCTAGTTGCGGCCAATGGGGGCTACTCTTTGTTGTGATGCGTGGGTTTCTCATTGTGGTGGCTTCTCTTGTTGTGGAGCACAGGCTCTAGGCACGCGGGCTTCAGCAGTGTGGCACGCAGGCTCAGTAGTTGTGGCTAACGGGTTCTAGAGCTCAGGCTCAGTAGTTGTGGTGCACAGGCTAAGTTGTTCCATGGCATGTGGGATCTTCCCAAACCAGGGCTTGAACCCGTGTCCCCTGCATTGGCAGACAGATTCTTAACCACTGCGCCACCAAGGAAGTCCAGAATTGTCATTTTAGCATAGTCCTTTGGGGCGTGGATAAGGAGTTTTTCTAAGTAATAGGGTCATTAAGCATAAGGCTTGTGTAGCCAGTTATCTTCTAGAAGAAATGAATTTTGATAATTTATTAATTTATTTGAGGATTATTTTAGATTAACATAAGTCTTCATTTGCAGAGTATCTTAAGCCTTCAACAAAATAGAATGAAAACTACATTTAAAAAATCTAATTTTTAAACACCAAATTAATTTAGGGGCTGAAGTATCCTTAATATGTCCTGTGCCCACATAGGTATAAATGTGCATTTTTTTTTAAAAAGTGTTTTATCATATAGTTTTCATATATATTTGCATCTGTGGTAAAGCATAAAAATAAGCATTTAAAAGAACAATAAATACTTGTAAAGATAAGTATTGGCAAAAGGGGCTAATATATGGATAAATTTACATAATCTGTTAACAAGTTTGATTGATAATATTCAAAGGCTTTTCCTTTTTTATATTTGTTTGCAAATGAAGGTTCCTCCCCGGGCAGAAGAAATCACCATTCCAGCTGATGTCACCCCTGAGAGAGTTCCAACGCACATTGTAGATTACTCAGGTAGTGAATGTCTTCTTGTAGGTGAAGCTGTAGAGTTAATTTAATAGTCCTTAAAAAGGTACTTAAATGAGCTTTAAAAAACGTTTTAAGAGGGGTGTTCCTTTTCTCTAGCAGTAAGTGATCATTTACTATTTTTGTGTTACCCCACACCCCACGAAAAGCAGTTCTCTGTCCCTAATTTACCAAGTTGGGTTCTGTAATAACGAAAAAGAAGGAGGGATGGCAAATGACCAGACAAATGATACCCTCCTTGGATTTGCATGTTTGCAGAGAGAAGTTCTGTGTTAATTTTGTTATCAGACATTCAGGCATGCTCTGATGATGTAGAAAGGTTCTAATTTGAAAAATTTTTGAGTTCTAAATTTGTTTTTTAATTTGTCAGACTTTGTCCTTAAAAAACAAAAAAAAGCTAAAACAGTTATCATCTTGCTTACAGTATATGATAATGGAAGCACATCTATATTGCTTTTAATAATGTAAAGTTTTTCTACACACTACTACTTTACTTTTTAGTCATTAAATTATTTTACTTTGTTCTGGGACTTCTTTTGGGAAGAAAGGGAAGTTGTAACAGGTGTACCACTCTGATGAGAGATGTTGATACTGGGGGAAGCTATATATGAAGGCAGGAGGTATATGGGAAATCTCTGTACCTTCCACTCAGTTTTGCTGTGAACCTAAAACTGCTCTAAAAAATGAAATCTATTTTTTAAAATGCGTATAACTACATTAGTAATACTTCGTTTTGCTGAGCTGGTATTCCATATATTCCAAAAGTGAAATACTTTGCAGTCTGATACATATGACTGTTGAACACTTAAAATGTGTCTGGTCTAAATTGAAATGTGCTCTAAGTATAAAATATAAGTGGATTTAGAAAATGGAAAAAGGAATGTACGATATCTCATTAATAATTTTTCTATTGATTACATATTGAAATTTTAATATTTTTGTTATTTTGGGTTAAATTAAAAAGTCATTTTACCTGTTCCTTTTTACTTTGTTTAAGGTGACTACTAGAAAATTAAAAATTTTATGTATGGCTTGTATCATATTTCTGTTGGACAGCACTGTACTAGAAGCTGAAGGGAGTTGGATGTTTTCTGCTACAATCAGTCTCATAACTAGCTTTATTTACAGAATTATTCTTTTTCAATATGTGTAGCCACATACTTAGATTCACTTTAGTATTAGACTTGAGGCCTTAACCCGTTGATTACTCAACATTTGAGAAGATATTTAAAATACGGCCAATTTTTTAGCATAAATTGAAATACCATGTATTCATTTGTGATATTAGTTTGTATGTCAGAAATAACATGCATTTTGGGGGGAAACAGTTAACGTAAAGTGATCTAAATTAATATGTCAATAATTGCTTTGGTCTTCATTTGTTTACTTCTCCATTCTAGCTATATATTGCACCTATCCCCTGCACCTGTGGGATTATAGGCATATCCATCCATTGAGATCCGTTCTAGCCAGAGATATGGGCCAGTGAGGGAATGTTTTTTTTTTTAAATTTATTTTGGCTGCGCCGGGTCTTAGTTGTGGCACTTGGGATCTTAGTTGTGGCACTTGGGATCTTTTAGTTGAGGCATGAGGGCTTCTTAGTTGCGGCAGGTGAACTCTTAGTTGGGGCATGCATGCGGGATCTAGTTCCCCAACCAGGGATCGAACCTGGGCCTCCTGCATTGGGAGTGCTGAGTCTTACTCAGTGGACCACCAGGGAAGTCCCCAGGGAATTCTTGACTCATTATCATGCTCCAGTTTTGCTTCTGAGGCCTTGTTAAGATTACTTCTATCTGCTGTCTAGATCTTAAGCTTATATTGCCCAGATTCTCACCTGGCTTTTTGACCCTGTGTGTATAGACTCTTTGGGCTTCTGACTCTCACTTGGGTTTCTGATCTCTTTTCCCAGTCCCTTCTCAACTCTAGATCAGATGCCGGCCCAGATTTATCACACAATGCCTTCTGCTCTTCCTTGCCTGAGTTATCTTCATGTAGACTTGTCTCTCAGTGCCAGCCAGCTTCCTTATCATAGTTCAACTCTGCTTTCTCTGGCTTGCCCTTGTCTTTGCCACTTGTCTGACACTACACCATGTAAATGACATGAGGGGTGAGGGATGTTTTGTGGGATGTTAGATGGGTTTTAGCTTGGCCATTTGTTTTTATGAAAGTGTTTAAAATATGAAAAGAAATTTTTGACTTTGTTATTTGTAGAAGCAGAACAGAGTGATGAACAACTTCATCAAGAAATATCACAGGTAAGTTAAAAAAAAATAGTTCTAAGTTTTCTTGTGGGAAAACAGTGATGATTCTGTATCTACCATTTCATTCTCTCACTTACCAAGAGGACTTTTTCAGTTCTTTATTGTTACTGCTGACTTTGAGAATGTATTTTTGCTGTAAATCCTTTGGAACCTTTTCCTCTTAGAGGCATGCTAAGTGTTTTAGTTTTCCAATTTTGTTCTTTCTTTGGCCCAACTATATTAGCTAGTTGGTAATTAAATGCTACTTTTGTGTTATTTTAAAATGACATCAATTTAATTTTTCTTGTAGGCTAATGTTATCTGCATAGTTTATGCTGTTAACAACAAGCATTCTATTGATAAGGTATGAATGTATGACATTTTTTCACTATATTTTGTTAAATTTCAGTGGGGGCACTTTTATAATTGATCCTCAATTTAGAATTTTAGGGGTCAAAGTAGAGTATTTTTCAAAGAAGATCCTCATCGTGGCTTACTTCTTGTTAATTTTCATTTTAGGTAACCAGTCGATGGATTCCTCTCATAAATGAAAGAACAGACAAAGACAGCAGGTAGTTTTTTTCTCTCAAACTTCGTATATTGAAAATTTTCAAACTTAGAGGAAAGTTGCAAGAAATAGTACAATGAACATCTGTAAACTATTCACTTAGATCCACTAGTTAACAGTTTGCCATATGTGCTTTATAGGTCTGTCTGTTTACACACTCACACCTTTTTTGGGAGGAATTATTTGAGGCAGCGCATATATTTGAGAGCAAAGCAGAAAATAGAGCTCTGGTACTATAATGTGCCCTCTCTCTTGAGTTGCCCTTTTGAGGATTGGCAATACCCTAAGTCATTGATTGCTCACCATGTGGTATATGTAAGAGCACAGGACTTGGAGGAAAATGAGTGACCTTGGAAATCTGGCTTGGCCTCTTATGAGCTCTAAAACTTCATTGAGCCTTAGTTTCCTCATCTGTAAGTGGGTAATACTTCTCTTGGCTACATGTGGTTATTTTGAGAATCCAGTGAAATATAATGCATGTATAAGTGCTTTATAAGTTCTCTAAAAATCTTTATAGAGATCTTCATTTAGGAATTCATGCAGGGAGATTTCTTTGAAATTCTTTGGAAGATATATGTATGATAGGGAAAAAGCAAATTCTGTTTTCTTCTAAGCAGATTGGTGGTCCTAGGTATAAATGTTTTGAGCTTTAAATGGAAACAAAACATTCTTGTGGTATTGTTTAATTGAACATGTTATTTGTGAAGCATTTGAATCTTTTTCAAAAAAATTTTTATTGCGATATAATTGACATAAAATTATGTTGGTTTCAGGTGTATAACATCATGATTCAGTATTTGTATACGTTGTGAAATGGTCACCACAATAAATCTAGTTACTATCTGTCATCATACACAGTTAACTTTTAAATTTTTTTTTTTTTTTTTTTTTTTTTTTGGTACGCGGTCATCTCACTGTTGTGGCCTCTCCCGTTGCGGAGCACAGGCTCTGGATGCGCAGGCTCAGCGGCCATGGCTCACGGGCCCAGCCACTCCGTGGCATGTGGGATCCTCCCGGACCGGGGCACGAACCTGTGTCCCCTGCATTGGCAGGCAGACTCCCGACCACTGCGCCACCAGGGAAGCTCCCACAGTTAACTTTTAGTATTTACTCTCTTGGCTACTTTCAAGTATGCTCCACAATATTATTGACTATAGTCACCATGCTGAGCTTTACATCCCTGTGGCTTATTCATCTTATAACCGAAAGTTTGTACCTCTTGACCCCCTTCACCTGTTTCACCGACTCCCACCTCCCACCCACTTCTCTGGCAAGCACCATTCTGTTCTCTGTATCTATGATTTTGGTTTTTTTTTTAGATTCCACATATAAGTGAAATCATACGGTATTTGTTTTTCGCTGTCTGACTTAACTGTGCTTAGCCTAATTCCCTCAAGGTCCATCCATGTTGTTGAAAACGGCAAGATTCCATTCTTTTTTATTGCTGAATAATATTCCATTGTATATATATTCACCACATCTTCTTTATCTATTTATCCATTGATGGACACCTAGGTTGTTTCCATATCTTGGCTATTGTAAATAGTGCTGTAAATGAACATGGGGGTACATATATCTTTTCAAATTAGTGTTTTTGTTTTCTTTAGATAAATACCCAGAAATGGAATTGATGGATTGTGTGGTAGTTCTATTTTTAATTTTTTGAGGAACCTCCATAGTGATTGCACCAATTTACATTCCTACCAGCAGTGCACAGAGGTATATGAGGGTTCCGTTTTCTCCACATCCTCACCAACACTTCTTATTTCTTATCTTTTTGATAATAGCCATTCCACCAGGTATGAGGTGATATGTCATTGTAGTTTTGATTTGCATTCCCCTGATGATTAGTGATGTTGAACATCTTTTCAGGTGCCTTTTGGCCATCTGTATGACATTTTTTGGGAAAAATCTGTATTCAGATCCTCTGCCCATTTTTAAATCAGATTTTTGGGGGTTTTTTGCTGTTGAGTTTTATGAGTTCTTTGTATAATTTGGATAGTAACTTCTTATCTGATATATGATTTACAAATAATTTTCCCCCATTCAGTAGGTTGTCTTTTAATTTTGTAGATGATTTCATTTGCTGTGTAGAAATAGAAATTTTTAGTTTGATATAGTCCCACTTGTTTATTTTTGCTCTTGTTGCCAGATCCACAAATTCATCACCAAGACCAGTGTCAAGTAACTTATGCCTGTATTTTCTTCTTGAAGTTTTATGGTTTCAGGTCTTACATTCAGGTCTTTGATCAAAATGGTCTTACATCCATTTTGAGTTAGTTTTTGTGTATGGTGTAAGATAGTGGTCTAGTTTCATTCTTTTGCATGGGGCTGTCCACTTTTCCCAATACCATTTGTGGAAAAGACCATCCTTTCCCTATTATATATTCCTGCCTCCTTTGTCATAAATTAATTGACCATATTGTTTGGGTTCCATTGATCTATGTATTTGTTTTAATGTGAATACCATACTGTTTTGATTACTATAGCTTTGTTATGTAGTTTGAAATCAGGGCACATGGTGCCTACAGATTTTTTGTTCTTTTTCAAAATTGCTTTGGCTATTCAGGGTCTTTTGTAGTTTCATCCAATAGGATTATTTGCTGTATTTCTGTGAAAAATGTCATTGGAATTTTGATAAGGATTGCATTGAATCTGTATATTGCTTTGGGTAATATGGACATTTTCACAATATTAATTCTTCCAGTTCATGAGCACAGAATATTTTTCTGTTTCTTTGTGTCTTCTTCAGTTTCTTTCATCAATAGCATACAGTTTTCAGTGTCTTTCACCTCCTTGGTTAAATTTATTCCTAGGTATTTCATTCTTTTTGATGCAATTGTAAATGGGATTGTTTTCCTAATTTCTCTTTCTCATAGTTTGTTGTTAGTGTATAGAAATGCAACCAAATTTTGTGTATTGATTTTGTACCCCACCACTTTACTGAATTTGTCTGTTCTAACAGTTTTTTGGTGAAGTCTTTAGGGTTTTCTATATATAAAATCATGTCCTCTGCAAATAGTGACAGTTTTAGGTGCCTTTTATTTCTTTTTCTTGCCTAATTTTTCTGGCAAGTACTTCCAATATTTTGTTGAAAAAAAGTGGGGAGAGTGGGCATTCTTGTCTTGTGCTTTGAGTCTTTTTAAATGTTAGGAAAACCAGGCTAATATCTATATATTATTCACATCTGGCCCTTTACTTCATTTTTTAGATTTCTTTTTTAGTTGGGCATTTTCATGCCTTGAAACTCTAAAGATCTGTTTCTAAACAGATGAACATGGTGACTCACCCTCTCACGTATTTACTTTGTGACTGAGATGGCATTGTATGTGCTACATCTTGCATCTCTGATGGCTTCTCTTTATCATTGTTTTATCATTAGCATTGTTTTAAAGTCACTTTGTAGTCACTTACTGACAAAGCTGAAAGGAGCTCTCTAGAGCTATACTGTCCAAGGCAGTAGCTTCTAGTCAGTTGTGGCAATTTAAGTAAAATGAAATAAAACGAAAAATTCAGTTTCTTGGACACAGCCACATTTCAAGTGCTTGATAGCCACTTGTGGCTAGAGGTTACAGGAATGGACAGTACAAATAAAGATCATTTCTGTCATCACAGAAGGTTGTATTGGACAGGACTGCCTTGGAGGAAACGATGCCTGTATGCTCCTGACACTTGTTTTTCTTGCTGATTACTTGAACTGTTTCCAGGAGGGACTCTTCAGAGGAGTCAGTTTTGCCAGGATCTATCAAGCACTAGTTTGAACAACTGAATTTTTAAAATGGGCTCTACTACGACAGCTTCCTAAACTGCTCTTTAGAAACTAGCTGGCTAGTCTTGTGGCCCTTTTAGTTTGCCATCTGAAAGTGGCTTTCAGTATTTGGAGATCTCTAATTGTGCTTTCTCAGGGGTGGCTATACTTTTACCCCTCCCTGAATCATGTGAGCATATTTATTTCTCTTGTGGTTGATTTGTTCCAAGGTGATCTATTTCTTTAGTGTATGGACTTCACATTTTCCCAATACCCTCTTTCGTGGGCCTCATACCTTAAGTTTATATTTGTTACACATATGTTCTTACTTAGGACTTCCTTGTACCATTATCACAGTGCTCCTTAGTCAGATGTGCCCATCACTGTCGCCTGGAGTACTTTAAAACAATATAGATGCCTTTGCTCCACCCTTTGAGTTTTAGAATCAGTAGGTTTGGAGTAGGGCTTGGACATGTGTATTTTTTTTTTAAGATCCATAAATTATTCTGAGCCACGTTTGGTTGTAAAGCACCACATTTTTGGAAACCCTTCTGGCTCTATTAACAATCTATATTTGGGTTATGAAGTGGGCCAGTCCTTTTACACATAATAACCACACTAGGTGGTTAAATAAATGCTTGCAAGTATTTCTTTTGCAATCTGGAGTTCCAGCAAGATGATTTGCTTTCCCTTTAAGCTCTCTTGTGGGATGTACAAATAATTGTTCTCCACTGGGCTAGTACTCCTTGGTAATCCCCATTCAGATTTCTGATAGGCCTGTCAGATTTAATTTGTTTAAAACAAAATCCTTAATTCCCTGCCTACTCCCCACTGCCCGCTCCGCAGATTTCTAAGTCTTTTCTGTCTCAGAAGCTCTACGCATTTTGTCCAGACAAAAAATCTGTTTACTTTTCTTGATTTCTGTTTTCCTTCAATCTCCATATCTAATCTACCCATTGCTCCTGTTTCTTCTACTTCTAAAATATATCTCAAATCTGAATATTTCCTCTTCACCTTCATTGCCCTAATCCAAGATATCACATAAAAAAACTTTTTTTTTTTTTTGCTGTACGCGGGCCTCTCACTGTTGTGGCCTCTCCCGTTGCGGAGCACAGGCTCAGCGGCCATGGCTCACGGGCCCAGCCGCTCCGCGGGCATGTGGGATCTTCCCGGACCGGGGCACGAACCCGTGTCCCCTGCATCGGAAGGCGGACTCTCAACCACTGCGCCACCAGGGAAGCCCAAAAAAACTTTTTTATTATTGAAAAAAAATCAAACATATACAGAAGTAGAGAGAATAGTATAACGAATCCCTCTGTATCAGTCATCCAGCTTCAGTAATTAACAACTCATGGCCAGTGTTGTTTCATTTATTACCCCTCCCCTTGGGATCATTTTGAACAAATCAGATACCATATTGTACTGTAAATATTTCAGTATGTATCTCTCAAAGATAACAAATGACTGCATTTTAAAATATCATTTGGATCATATCATTCACCTACTTATAACCCTTCTGTGGCTTCCCTTTTTACACTTAAAATAAACCACACACTCTTTACTGCAGCTGTAATTCCTTTTGTGTCTGGCCTTTGCTCCTCTCTCCAACTCCATTTCATACCTCTTCCCCTTGGACCAGTACTCTTCAGCCACTCTGGCATTTTTCTGTTCTTTGGACTCATGGGAATGTTTTTTCAGTTTGGGGCTTTTGCACATGCTGTCCCTTCTTCCCAGCCAGCTCTTTCTTGGATTTTCACATAACAGATTCCATTTCATCCTTCACTCCTTGGCTCAAATGCCACCTTGTCAGAGAGATTTTCCGTGATTACCATGTAGAGTTAGCCCCCTCCCATTACTTTATCCCATATACCTGTTTATTTCCTTCATTGCACTTACAGAATTGGAAAGTGTCTTGTTTGTTTATTTGCTTACTGTCCATTTTCTGATTTTCACTATGAGAGTGAGCAGGGACCTTTTCTGTCTTGTGTCTGTAATGCTTAGAACAGTCCCTGGCTTATAATAGGAACTCAGTAAATATTTGCTGATTATGAACATGCTTTCCAGGGTGCTTGGGCTGACTAAGATAGAGGGTTCATATTGAGGAGATTAAGTAAATCTTATTAGTTAGACTAGGTTACAATGTACATTAAAATATAAATCTAATGTCTTTTGCCTTCCTTATTATTACAATGTGCCCTGTTTATTTCAGGCTGCCTTTGATATTGGTTGGGAACAAATCTGATCTGGTGGAATACAGTAGTATGGAGACCATCCTTCCTATTATGAACCAGTACACAGAAATAGAAACCTGTGTGGAGGTATGCCTTATCATTGGATTTTGAAATTTACAGTTGGTGAATTCTCACTAAATTGAGGTTCAGAATAGGAGGGAGGGAAGATGTGGGGTGGAATAAATTTGTTTGTGAAGTCTTGTAAACCAAATAAAACAGAGAACTTGGAGATGGCCTCTGAGCTCTTTGTAAACAGTCATATTGTGATATCCAGTAAGAAAAATGCACTTTTTTCAGTTTCTTCAAGGAATGTTTATAGTTTAAAAAATATTTTTAGCTCTCATGATTGCTTTCAGAGTGAAAAATTTTAAACTTTCTTTTCAGTGTTCAGCAAAAAATCTGAAGAACATATCGGAGCTCTTCTATTATGCACAGAAAGCTGTTCTTCATCCTACAGGGCCCCTGTACTGCCCAGAGGAGAAAGAGGTAAACCCTCCATCCCATCAGGCTGTGTTAGTAGGGGCTGGAATGTGTAGGTAGTAACTCCGTTATGAAAACGATTTTTAGTAACTCTGAAGTATTCATCTAAACTGCTAAAATTAAAATTTATTGCTTACTATACTGTTATATTTTCTAGGTACTTTTCTTCAAAGACATTCATGTTAAATAGTCAGAATAATATTCCAGATCAAATATTATTTCAGGAAGTGCCATTAAAACAAACAGGAGAATTGGCAATTGTAACAACAAAAAGTCCAAAGACTTAACTAATGGTCTACTTGCTTTGCTACAATTAAATCCACAAATCTGTGGGATGAATTGGGAGATTGGGATTGACATATATCCACTAATATGTATAAAATAGATAACTAATAAGAAAGTGCTGTATAAAACATAAATAAATAAAGTAATATTCAAATCAAAAAAAAATCCACAAACTTAAAAACACATACAAGCAAAAAACTTGTGTAATTATTTGAAATGGGTACAATATGTAATACAATTTGAATAATCCCTTTTGTTCCATAGCTTAGAAACACAGTAATTCCTTAATGAAATATTTAAAATTTAACAATATTTTACCGTAGACTTTTTTTTTTTTTTTTTTTGCGGTACACAGGCCTCTCACTGTTGTGGCCTCTCCTGTTCCAATGTGCAGGCTCAGCGGCCATGGCTCACGGGCTTAGTTGCTCCGCGGTATGTGGGATCCTCCTGGACTGGGGCACGAACCCATGTCCCCTGCATCGGCAGGCGGACTCTCAACCACTGCACCACCAGGGAGGCCCTACCATAGACTTTTAAAATTAATTTTTAAATTGAGATGTAACTCACATACCATAAAGTTCACCCTTTTGAAGTGTCCTCTTCAGTGATTTTTAACGTATTCACAAAATTGTGTGTCCATCCTCACTGCCTGTCTCCAGAGCGTTTCAAAAGAAACCTTTTACCCACTAGCAGTCACTCCCATTCCCCCCTTCTTCCTTACCCCAGCTTTTGGCAACCAGTAATCTTCTTTCTGTCTCTATGGATTTGCATATTCTGGACATTTCATATAAATGGAATCATACAATATGTGGTCTTCTGTGTCTGGCTTCTTTTATTTATTTATTTATTTTTGGATTTTATTTTTTATACAGCAGGTTCTTATTAGTCATCCATTTTATACACATCAGTGTGTACATGTCAATCCCAATCTCCCAATTCATCCTACTACCACCCCCACCCCCACTTCCCCCCTTGGTGTCCATACGTTTGTTCTCTACATCTGTGTCTCTATTTCTGCCCTGCAGACCAGTTCATCTGTACCACTTTTCTAGGTTCCACATGTATGCGTTAATATACGATATTTGTTTTTCTCTTTCTGACTTACTTCACTCTGTATGACAGTCTCTAGATCCATCCACATCTCTGCAAATGACCCAATTTCATTCCTTTTTATGGCTGAGTAATATTCCATTGTATATATGTGGTACATATATACAATGGAATATTACTCAGCCATAAAA